TGGAGATCATTTGGCTGTCATAGTATATGAAAGTTATGTAACATGTATAAGCACATTACATAAGTGTTCTCCAATGCCACAGTTCACTGGATATTCTCCCAAAACTAACGACAGCCAAGAAGCACAGAGAGCACAACTAGAAAATGTGCATCTAAATTTTATGTACAGTAGTCGCAGCAATTTTGAGTGAAATCACTTATGAATATATTCAAAAGTAATGGGAGGATTTGTATGAAGAAAAATGCAAATTCCCTAAAAAATTAATTGAAATTTATTTTATTGAAGTGAAGCTGAGTTTAAAAGAGTAGATTACATTCTAAAACTTATATGCCATGGAATAGGTTTCAGTACTGGTGAGTTTTAGGTCCACTTAGGAGGGCCTTGTTGTTTATGTACAGTCTGATTTAAGCATTTCTTTCCTTTTGATTTAGAAAAGAGAGAATTGTGGCTTGGCTTCTGTTAGCTTTCTGATATTGCTAGTAAAAACTTCTGAAAGTTTCCTTGCAAAGAGAAGCACTGATGTTTCTCTAGGAAAAAAGGAAGGGAGGATGAATCTGCTGAGGCCCTTTTAATCCAGTACAATTTAAGAGCAAGACCCAAAGGTGTTTGATGATAGCAGCGCTTTTCCACCTTTTGAAGCACCATGTAATGACAGCAGTAAAAGCACGACTCTCTGCCTTGGTCAGATAGCTGTGGTGCCTTCCTCACAGTGTGCCACATTTCATTTATACTCCAGGTTGGAGGGCTGAAATTATTGTATTTAGCGACTGCGTAGCGGATAATGGGTAGCAGTACTTGGCTAATTTGTCAGTCCAGCCTGTAACCACGTTACCTGTTCTGCCTAATTCTGCCCAGCAAAACTATAGTCAGGATTTGCATTCGTGTCCATCGTTGTATCTAGTGTGTCCATTGCCACAGAATGGGGCAGTTCAGCTCTAGTTCAGACCTTTTTTTTGTCCGTGAAAATGCAAAGCAGCAACATTTTATGTAGACTTGCTTACGAAGTGAAATGAAGGAACTTAGTCAATTGGGAGTGTAATGTTAATCACAAACCTAGTGTTCTAGTGTGCTGCTGCTGCTCCTAATCAGAGCTTTCCATTAACTCTAGGCAGAAACATTTGGCAGACATTTATGCAGTCCGTTTTCCTCCGTCAGAGCCATAAGACCCATTTACTCACCTCACGATTGCTATGGTCTCATTTACCAGTTCATGAACCACTTCTTTCCGAGTTGTCAGTCTAGTATAAACCGAGCTCTGTGTATTTTCCTTGAGGCGTGATCTGTTCTTATTTCATGTGTCTAGGAAGACGGCCCTATAAAATCATTCCTCTTCTATTTAAATGGGGCATTTCACACACATCTCCAATCCGCATTTTACGAGACTGCTATTCACTTGGGGTGAGGTCCTTGGGCAGGTATTTAAAGAGGAGCTTTCACTTATGCGCTATAGTAAGTAATGGGCTGCTCTTGCAGATCTGCATTCACTTTATAGTGCACCCTAATTCTGTGTCTCTCCAGTGTTTTTATATTTTACTGATTCCTTTTTGATAAAGAAGGGGAAGGTGGTTGTTCCCAGTCTCCAGGTGGAAATTCAGAATAACCAGACCACAGTGGTCACGGGTATCGAAGGTATCAACAGCAATAGCCACGACAACAAGGTAACTTGAAGAACCAGTTAAATAGCAATGCTGGAGCACATAGTTTGCAGGTCAGCAAGAGGAAGTGGAGCTGTGATGTTCTGGTTCTGTACATCAGGGTGCAGCTGGGCCGTTTCCATTATCAGACCAAAGGAGTCACTGAAAACTGAATATGTTTCACAGGGTTGTTTGGCTTGGAAATGGTCTCCTCCCTTTCCTGTCCTGTTCCTTCAAGCTTTGTATTTACTATTATTATTCTATCCATTGTGCTTTGAATTCTAAAAGGGTTTTTAGCCGTGCTCATTTTGGTATGCAGGCGCTTCTCATCTTTTCAGTTTTGAATTTCTTTGTTTCACTTACTGTTTATGGCCTTCTTGGGAGAGGCACTGTAAGGCTTTATGTGGGCAGGTTCATGAGGCTGATTTAATAAATGTGCTATTTGCCTTGTTGCAGTTCACCCTGAGCTCTAATCAGCTGCTAGGCATTTCAAACCCCTGTGCAGTGAATATTTTGAAAACAGCCATTTATTTGCCACTGTGAGTGTTCTACCGTGCTAAACACAGTGACAGTGGAATTAATGCCGGAAAAGAAGCGAGCTGAAAAAAAGTCATTTAAGTGCTCGTGCCAACCTTGCTGCATTAGGCAGTTCAGTTACGTGGATTGTATTAGGACACAAAGAGATAAAGAACAACAGCGTCTTTTCTGGACTGGGCTCTTCCCTCATCACAGTATTCAGTGTTTGAACAAAGTCTCATGGCCTTTCAACTGCATTAAATTGTATTTAATTTACCCTCATTATATGCACATTTTGGTTGTAGCATTCAAAATACTCAGCTCTAGAGGCCTTCACTTCAGAGGGAACCAAATGTGCTGGACTGGGAAGAAAACCTAATGCAAACAATATTGAAACCTGAAAACAAAAGTTGAGGAGGGGCAGAGTGACAGCCAAGGCAGTTGTGCTTGTCACACTCACAGGAGGCGCCTTCGTTTTGGTCCTTCATTTTTCACTGATACTAAAAAATCTATCAGGTCCCGTGTCCTCACAGTAGAAAAACAAATGAGCAACTCCTGGCTGCATATGCTGAAATGTAAGCTGGCTGTGAAACCTCTCTTCTTGCTGTTTGAAGTACACCTTTATTTTACCAAGACACTGAATCCTCAGTATGTACACATGTCCTTACGTGCCTGCATGTGAATATGGATCTGTATATAAATTTATGTTCTTTAATACTGTTTTGTCTTTGGTAGTACTTAATCAGCTTGTCAGTGTCGATTTTGGTGGTAATTGTGATTCTCAGTCCTTCTGAAGTAGTGTTATTAAACTTTATTTTGGAGCTTCTTAAGCTTTGGGAATACATGCAAACTGTGGCCCTGATATTGTGTATGTTATGTGCAAATGCCCACGTGCAAACCTGTATGACTGTTTGGCCTCCTGTGAGAATGTGTGAGGCATGTTCACTTTGATTTGTCTCTGAAACTAGGATGTGAGGCCCTGATTTTTAGAAGTTCGTTATATAAACATATGCATAAACTTTTATGCATTAAAAACAGAGCCTACTGCGTTTTGTTTGTTGTGTTAATTTGGTTTTGCTCTTTTTGAAAGTACCTTACATCAGTTTAAGGAACACTAGTACCTCATTTATTTTACTCACTTTTTTGTCCATTTTCACTTTCAAATTTGCTTCCTCCATTATCACAATCCCTCTCGTGAAGGGGGGAAACCTGGGCCGTTGAGTTTCCTGCAGAGCAGTGTGTGTGAATGATGCGGTTGGCCACGAGCAGTAGAAAATACCTGAGTATTCGCTGTCGCTAACTGCAGTGATAACTTTCTATCGTTATCATGTGAACTTTGGTACCTGTGGCAAGTATAAAATTAGCAACTGGAAAACTGACTCCAAATGACGGCAGCCTTTTAAATTACCACAGTAGAGATCAGCCTTTGCTACCAAGGCAACCATCGGCTGTCATCCTGGGGCATGGAAGGTGTTTAAATGGCAAGGTTGACTTGAGGGAACATCTTGCTATATTTAAGATTTTCCATTCATTCAGGGTATCTGGAGCCACAAAAATTTTATAGTACAGCTCTCAGTACATCTTCATTCAGTCATGAAAAGAAATAACTCCCACAAAACTTATTCCCTCCCCAACACCATATTCTAAATATGCTACAGATCATGCTGCATTTCTCATTTTTCACCGACTATTATGGGAGACAAGTTGTGATATCTTTAGCAAATCTAGTCTAATACTTTCTATTAAAAAACTTTATACATTAGACTAAGACAGGCCGTATTAGAAAGACAGCACAAATTATGCCCTGGAGGAAGTGGTGAAAAAAATAATCAGGCATTTTGGCAGATCTAATTGCATGGACAGTTTGCAGCCTACCAGGAAGACGTGATCATGACTCATTAATGCCTGATCATCGTTGTGTGAAATGCGCTTTGTAGGTGAGAAGTGAATGTGCTTTCTGGGTGCTCATAGAGAGCGTTTGCATACCTGTGTCACAGTATGAAAGAACAAACAATGATTTTTGCAGAAAAAGCAGGCTACCAAGGAGATGACAATGGTATATTTTTACCAAGTGATAAGAAGAATTAGTTTCCCTATTTCCTAATGCAACAAGTCAATTATGGCTAAAATGGAAAAATACTGGAAGTCAGAAGTTAGTTTCATATAAAGAAAGAATAAGCTAAGGGAATGGTAATAAAGTCAAGGAGAAATTTTGAAGGATTACTTTAACAGCAGTGTTTTTTCTTAATGGAAGGAGAGGGAAGGATGGATGAAGGCAAAAAGACTCAGAAAGAAGAGAATCCTCCGACAAATGGGCAAAAGAATTGGTATTAGGACAAAGTTTGCATTGGCAAATTATTCTTTGCTCTCTAGTTGCACGTTTTATTTCATGAACGTGCAGATTCAAGTTCTTACCACATTTTGGAGGTTTGTCCAGCCTGTTTTGTGAGATAACTGTAAACGTGGGAGGTGACCCTAAGACAATACTACAGGAGAAAGAGTGATTTACTGAATAATGGGAGTACTTCAGCAAATCCTTATGGAATTCTCAAGTTTCCAATTCTGCAACAATATATTAACCCGTTTAATTCTCTTTATGCAGAATATCCATTTCTTTTGAAGGGTTTTTTTTTTTTTTTTTTTAAATTATAAAAAACCCTTCTTTTTTTTTTTAGAGTTTTTTTTTTTTTTTTTTTTAAATCATCAGATACACCTCTTTGGAGGCTTTCCTTAGAATGATAGTTCTTCATTTTTTTTTTTCCTAAAATATGGTAGTAAAACCAATGTTATTTTCCTGTCGACTGTAATGGTGAAGTGTATGAACCTGTTTCACTTCATTAGTTTTTACAGGATTCAAGAAACACAAAAGTCTTCAGCTGGAATAATCAGCCCAACTCCATTAGATTCAAGAGCCTCTTTCTTACCCAAATGAGATCTGGAGATAGGGTTTTTTTTTAGTAGTAGTTACTTAAACTAACTGAAAACAGCTAACATTTTGAAGGACTTTCTAAAATTTAAATATTAATTTTCAATAGCAAAATAGGGACTTGGGGACCGAAGGTTTCTAAACTAAATGGTATATAATGGTGGTAAGGTGGGACAAAAGTAATATATAGCAAAATGAACAGTAAACAGCAAACTTGCCAAAACACAGCGCAGTTCCTTGAGCTCTGAGTCATTATTCAGGGTTGAAATGTCTTGTTGCTATTATTCCCCTTCCCAAACTCCTGTCTCCCTCAGTAATAGTTAGATGATGTTCAATGAGTGAAGCTGCTCTTATTTCGACTTTTCACTCCATGGCAGTATGATCCACATATTACTCATAATTGCAAAGAATTAAAAAACTGTTCACTTAATTCAGCTGCTGGAGTTCAGTGTCTTGGGTGTTGCCGGCCTGTGGAGAGGAGCTCCACAGTGGAGAGACCGCGCGCGAGCTTCTGCACACCCCGACTAGCAATTCTGTGCTGGAATAATTAGTATTTTTGTGCTGTAAATCGTGTTTCAGAATGACTTGCTTCCAGTTTAGTGTCTTGTACTGTACGGTTGCTTGCAATATAAGGAAATGGGTAAACAAAATACTAAATCACTTTTTCTTGGGAGACCAGATTCAGCAGTAATTTAGATCCTACAGAAGTAGCAAAATGTTTGATACATTTTTCTAAAATACTTTAAAAAATATAGGTGTCTGTAGTGAGTTATATGATACTTCTCAGATGCTGTGTTTGCTGAAAAAAGGGTATTTTGATGCATATAAGTAGGAAGACTGAAGCGTTTATTGAGGTATGCCATCCCTTGAGTTTATTGTATCTATGAAACATGAAATGCATAAAAAAGATCATAATGCTGTTTTGCGGCGGTCTTTCTGCTCTCTGTGCTTATATACGACATTGTAATATAAGTGGGGGGTTTTGTAGCTGTGTTTTTCCATGTTTTAGGAATTTCAGAGTTACATAGTAAGAATGTTTAACATTACTTCTACATATAAATAAGTTTAAAAATAAATCCTGCAAAACTTCAATGATCCATTTAACAAAATACCCATTTCTCTAAACACACTGAAAGGAGTGGGTGAAGATAGTGTGACACATCATGTGGGCTTAATCTGTTTCGTATAAATTTGCTGTGAAAGCTCTAGTTCAATATAGATAATGTGCAATCTGTTCTAAACATCCAGTTGTACAATAAGGGTAATTTGTGGGAGACAGTTATGGATCTCAAGAGCCCTTTCATCATGCGGAGTATTGAATTAATCTCCTCCTAAATGCTCATTCAGAAAGTGCCAGAAGACTGCTCTGCTCGGTTGCCATGGCAGATATTATCCTCCTGGCTCCTCGGAGAGCTAAATTTCTATAAACTGTGAGTGTTTGCAAGTTTATCAAAGCAGCAAGCAGTAGTTAGGCTCATTTTTTTTTCTTGTTGCTGCTGTTGATGGATTCCTTCTGTCATATGCTCGCTTGAATGTTCTTCCTTTTAAAAATTACTTTCTTCCTAAACTTGGTTTTACCTACACGCCCCCTCAAATTAGAACAATAACTTTTATTTAGGGACAAAGAGACGTATTGCAGATATGGAAATTTTAAATAAGATGCTAAGGGAATGCTGACCATGGCAGAATTCTCTGATAGCAAGAGAATGATTGTGAGGAAAATCCGCACCACACAGGCTACTACTGGACAGGCAGAAAAAATACTCATGCTCTACTTTTTATTAGGAATGCGCACCCACAGTGTGAAACTGCATAATGACACCATCTCCTGAAAGGGGAGATTTTTTGTGTGGATGGAATCTGAAAGAATATTGAGAACAAACGTTTAGGGGAAGGCAGATATTTGGAGAACTGTGGAACTCGGAGTAGGATGATAAATCATAAAAGATCTCAAATGGCTTTTGAACATATGTATGTTACTATTAAGTTTCCGATTTAAATCAGAATTGTTTCTAGATTGAGATTGGGGAAAATGTTATTCTGGACAAAACCTATGTATAGTTTAGATTGTTGAAAGACCATCTCACTGAAGCAACGGCTGAGCTATGAAATGATGAAACCAAAAAAATGCATGCAAGGTCATGTGAGACTCTCTTCACTATGTAAGCAAGAGAGGGAGTGTGTTAACTGGAGTGCATGAGACCTGGTGCATGTTTATGAAGGATACTGCCCATAACCTGTAGATGTGTAACAGCAGATAAATTGAAGCCCCCTCTCCCCATTTCAATTTTCATACTCTTGCTTGGAAAAGCGACAAGACTTAACATTTGGGAAGCGCGAGAAGTGTTCAGAGAGAGACGATTAGGGCCAAAGAGCGTGTCAGTTAGTACTGAAGTACTACTAGTACAAATGTTAGTACTACTAGCTAACTTTAGTACCCAGCTCAGGGACCTTGGGCGAGATTTCAGACTATTATTGCCCACTGTGTAGTAAGTTCATTATAGACTATGCTGTAAGAATAGCAAGAAATATGCAGCAAGAAATATGTATTTCCCAAGCTGGAAGTGACTGTTTTGGTTATTTGTGAAGAGAATAAGCTGTTCTATGTATAACAGATTATAAAATACTAAAATTCTGAGATGCTTTAGAAAGACATCATTGGAACTCCCTATCCATCTCTTCCTAAAATAATTGTTAAACTAAAGTATTTGACATTCATTGTTGTCAAGTCAACATAATATTGCTCTGAGACTGTTTGAAATCGTGGGGCCTTTTTGAAATCATGCTGTAGTTCTCCAGACACAGGCTGTATATTGCATTTCATTTCAGACTTCGTATTGCTGTGCTAAAGGACCAATATTGTGTTGCTGCTCTGTGATCTCTATTTACTTTGTTAAACAAGAGACTGAAATCTCCAGGGTATAGAGATAATCTTCATGAAACACAAATTCGTTTGCATGCATATAAAGCAGCACATCGTTATATAAACAGCTGTATACTTAAGCAGAGTGGGTTTTTCTGTACCTACATCTCAGCACTGTTTCTCTCTACTGAGCAGTTATGTGAGTTACAACTAACGTGACATGTGGTGATAGGTAGCTTCTATGCAAAATAAAACACTATTTAAAGCAGCTGTTTTGATGAGATGGTGCCTGTTTGCTTTTGAGACCTGGGCTGGCAAGAAGTTTCAGGGGTGCTGCTGGCCCCTGCGTGCCAAAGCACGCGTCGCAACGCCAAATGGGCCCGGGGAAGCAGCTCTGGGTGCAGACCGCTGCTTTTTACTGCTTTATTATGTTTAACATTTTAATAAAGTAAATGAGGATTAAGTGGAAGAGCAGAAATGGAGATGCATAGGCTATTTTGTAGCAGGGGTGCTGTGTAACTCCCTCCTTCCCTCCCTGCCATTTGCAGCAAGCAAAACCTCAGGAATGGTTTCAGAGCTTCGTGCTGCTCTGTAGTTTGCTAGGTCGTGTAACGTGCGCTGCGCTTGCCTGTTCTTGCAAGGGATTGAGAAAAGAAAGATCTGCTTTCCTAGCAAGCCTTTGGAGAATGTAAGGGTTAGCTGCCCTGTGTGTTTGGTTTTTTTCTCTCATTGACAAATTCCTCATCTTTTTTTGGAGCCTGCTTTACTTCTGCAGCCTTTCTCAGAACTATGTACCAAATCTATGATTTTCTTGTCTTATTCCTTTCTCTGAATGAAAGAATTTTCCTTTCTGTCAGCATACGTGGGCAACATTAAAGTCCTTCATAGTCCATAATATTCCGTGTTTTATACTGCCTCAGTTTCCTTTCTGTTTGAAGATGCATTTGACGTGTGTAGATAAACATGCAGCAAATGGCAGGACACTTGTACAGCAGCATGGCCGTACCCCTTGAGAGGCCTTTTCCCCCCGGGGAGGATGGTGAGGCCGGTTCTCACCACGTTTTAGCTAACACTGGGCATGTAGCAGTGAGGGCAGGGCTGGGGGCAGTGAAAGGCAGGTGGGTTTAAGCCACAATGTAGCTGATCTAAAGCAGGTCCAGGCTCCCACGTGCTAAGAGCAAACCTTTTTCTGCATGTGGGAGCACCTAGAGTTTCCCCTGACTTGTTTTAAATTTGAGGATGTTGCAGTTATCAGACCAGAGGATTAATTAGTCCATCAGGAGTGATCAATTCCTTTCTTCTCCACATCGCCCACCCCGAGAGAAGTGCAAGAGACTATGGAGAACAGAGTCACAGATTTCAAATAAGTCCTAATGGGAGAAGTTTCTTTCCTTCTATTTCACCTAGTATTATGCCTATCTCACATATCAGAAGAATTTTTATCTCTGCTTCCAAAACCAAATATATTATTAATGCCAGTGTGGAGGATCTGCTTGGTCATATGAGCATCTAATACAAGAGTATTTATATGGATTCTTATTTCTGACCTTTCATTTCCATTCTTCAAGTGATCAGCAGGTGAAGAAAAGAGTCATTCACTAATTCACTAAGGCTCATTCACTAGTACGGGACAGAGACTGGTATTTCTAGCGGGACCCCCGCAGAGTGCTCCGTTTTTGAGAGGATTATTTGTCCCAGCACTGCTGGGGGGACGGGACAAGCTGAAGTTTGTCTCAAGGGACTTGCTGAAGCCGGAATCCTGGAGGAGAATCAGGAGGTCAGGGCGTCCTCTGCCCTTCTCCCCTCCCCTCAGCAGCCCTGGCGTCTCAAACGCTCATTCTGGTCCCTTGATTTCAGGTCCCCTCTTCATCCCCTTAATTACCAGATGTGATATAGACAGAGTCCTGGAGCAGATCTTTTTGGACCATAGTTTTTTTCCTGATATTCATATAATGTAGTTTTTACAAATGCTGGTATATAAGAGGCAGTAAATAACAGTACTGTTGTGGTACAAAGCCTCTTAGTGGAAATGCCAGTCAAAAATATTCTTGGCTGAAAAGAGGAGTTCCTGAATGGCTGTTTTGACTTGGGCTTTCTTCTTCCAAAGGCGACACACAACCAGTGAGGGGGAGCTTCAGTTGTATCCACTCATGTAGTTGTTTTGATCATCCGGATGGTTCTGGTGCAAAGCTCCCTTGTTCACTTAATCCCCTTTCATCTGCTTTTTATTTGATACTACATCAGTCTGGTAATTACAGAAAGCTGCTGCTTACTTCAGTGGCTTCCTTGCTGTCTTTCTCTGTCAGGAAACTTGGGCTGAATATTTTCCAATGATAAAATAAAACCTTTTTTCATTGTTAATATAAAAAAATGCTGGTATGTTATAATTGTAGCCTGAGTACATTTATTTTAGTAGGATATATTCTTTTAATATTTTTTTTGCAGTACTATTAATTGCAGGTATTTCCTACGCATTTGGAAAATGGTGCTCTGTGCTTTCAGTATGTGAGAGGTGTTAAAGTTTGTTTTAGATTATTCAGAAGTCTTTGGCTGCAGTTATGAACTACTCTTATTGTAGGAGAAGGTGAAGCTGGCTGGTGCGGTTTGCAGTTCTTCTGGTCCTTAAGGATGCAAGGAATTTTACCCTTTGTTTTATGCTTGTTTCCAGTGTATTTGAACAGTGCCAAAGAGGAAACATGAGTATGTGAGCGCTGACATATTACCAAGCTCAAAGTGCAGAAAATGGGTTTGTGGATCTTGTTAATATTTTGTAATTATTGTCTTGTTTCAGCTTGCTTATTTGATTTGCCCTGAAGGACCTGTGGAAACGTGTGCTCACCTTCCATCTTATAAGATCACGTAAATTTACAACAAATTAACTTAGTGACTCATTGGATAATATTAACTCACTCCACTGATGCAAAATCGTATGATGTCTTAAACATTTATGTAGAGCCCTTTGACAGCACATACTGGCATTCTATTTATTTTTTGTTTGTTTGGCAGATGTAGGTGCCTGTTTTATATAGGGTTTGCAGTAACATTTATAAGACAAGATACCTTTTCTGACAACTGGTAATGTTATACAGTGTTTCTGTAGCAATAGGTCACGGACTTGTAATGTATTACAGCTAATGGGTTGAATAGAAATGACTGTAAATGTTTATGGCTGCGTGTTAGACAATATAGTTGTGATATATTGTGGTGGATTAAAATTAAGAAATAGGCATGTGATGGTACCAGTAACCCGGGCTTGCTGGCACGCTTGTGGCTGCAGATGCAGTGAAGTGAGCTGCTTCCCACTCGGGAGGAATAACAGTGAAAATCTGAGGGAAAAGGTGCAGCAAAAGGGCAGAAAAACAGGCTAGGAGGTCAGCAAGGCATCGGGAAGGAAGTAAAGTGTAAAGAGGGAAGAAAGTTGAGAAATGGGACAAAAATGAGAAGAAAGAAAACAAAAGAGGGAGTGTTGGAGAATTCTTGTGGGAAGTGACTGAACTATTCTGTTCATGGAAAGGCCCCACAGACATAAGAATTGTGCTAGAAAAAAATAATTTCAATATGTGTATTTTTTTTGCAATTATTCAGCTTTTGTTTAGAAGATGCCATTTTTAATAACTTGATGGGCATTCAAGAACTAAAAATTACAATGTTGCTAAGTTTAATCATTTTTATGCATTTATACATGTCTTTAGATAATGCAGGATTTTTCTACTCATCCCTTTATGTGTTGTATTCCACAGAATATAGGTTAACTTAATAGATAGGCCAAGTAAAAGTGCTGACACTCTGCATTAGGTGAGGAGAGAAACGGGCGTTACAAGATTGATAAGGCTTGAAGATAATAGGCTCACAGAGTCAGAAATGAATCCTACATTTCCTTCCAGTCTAAATCTCACCTGGAAGTGTCTTTGTGTGGTTTTTGAGCTGTGCAGAGTCACGTGTTCCAAAGCAGCAGAGCAAATACCAAAAACCGCAGAGCACACACTGGTGTTGTGCGTGTTGTATGGTCTCTGCTTATCTTCATGTCACAAAGCTGCCTCCAAATTCAAAATTGTTCAGCCTTAAAATGGTGGCTATTGCTTAGCTTTACTTTCGCACAGCTCGCTTGTCATTGCAATAGAATTACATAAAGCTTTGTGAAGAAATGGATGGCAATATTGGAGATGGAAGACTGCAACGTTTTGTTCAGGGTCCATGATATGGCCTAGAAGTAGTGCTGAAGAAAGCCTAGGAGGGGCTGTGCAGCAGGGCAGGCTCTTGTATTTCCCAGTCATATTCTCCCTTTCTTCAATCGTTTTCAGCTCAGGAGCTTCCCAAACCAGATGAAACCATCAGGCCACCATAAATAATGTCAGTAATTGATTCGTCAGAAGAGGGATCTGGCTTTATCTGGTCAGGTGGATATTAACTTCTGTGTATTTTTATGTGCAAGGCTGTATCTATTATTGATCTATACTCAGCCTTAACCTGGTGTTTAGTTAAGGGGAAAAAATCTTTTTTTTTTTTCCAGACAATTTTGCTATTGTGTGAACAGTGTTTCCAAGAAGCCGGGTCCTTGGCAGAGGCAGCCTTTGCCTGGCAGCAGGTGCCTGCGGTGCACGAAGTGGTTCTGTCAGGGGGCCCATGGCCATTCGGAAAGCAGCTACAGGGGAACCTCCGCTCCACCTTCAGACTGGTAGAAAAGATGCCCTTGGAATATTTATAAAATAATTGTAGCTAGCAATTAATTACCAGCTCCGTGATGATTATTTTTTCTCGGGACTGTAAGCTAATAGCAGAGCCCCCCACAGGAGAGCGGGAAGGAGCTTATCTTTGAAGATAATTACGAGAATGAAAGTGTAGCTGCAAATTACATTGTAAGGACAAGAGTCTCCACAGGGGAGGAAAACAAATAGGGTAATCGGATAGGTCTTTCTGTTTCTAATCTTGCATTCCTGGTGTGTCAAGCTCCTAGGTGGACTTGAGAGTATTTCTTCCTCATCAAATAATTTGAAGGAAGTTTTATTGCTTAGTGTCTCCTACTTTACTGCAGTGAGATGTTACTTTGTAGCTACTGTGGATAATGATAACTTTAAAATTAAACTCACTTTTAATTAAACCCACTTTTCGTGCTGACATGGCAGGTACACCAAGAAGTAAAATCTCTTTTTTTTTTAAATATATCTGGGCAGATTTTTTTTAAAAAAGGCTTTTTTAAAAGCTGTGTGTATTTATACATATATGTGCTATAGGTGTTTCGCTGTGTGCCTGCCCAGATGTGGCTCCCAGGCTGGGGCTCGCTGCCTGCTGCAGGACGGGTGGAAATTTTGCCCCTGCGGCACCTGGGCCCGTGCGGGTCCCGCACGGGGCAGCCCGTGCAGCCCCGCAGCCCCCGTGTTGGCCTCCCTCTGTACCCGAATTGGAGCACAGCTAAAACATCTCCAGAAATCCTGCCTGAAGTTCGGCTCTTACTTGTATGTCTGGAGTCCAAACTAGATTATCTAATCCCTTCCCTGGGTAGAGGAAGAACTTTTGTTTTGTTTTGTTGTTGTTGGTTTTTTTTTTTTTTTTTTGGAACAGAGGAGGGCTCTGTACTACCCCAGAAATGGGATCAAGTTTGGAATTGAGAAGTGGGCGCCCATTCCTGGTCAAGCAGGATGCTCCTGCAGTCAGGACGGGCTGGCAGGGTTTATGTTCCTGCGCAGAAGTCATTGCCAGGCCTGTGATCGGAAAGGACTTTTGGGTCAGCGTGGGGTTGCTGGGTGTCTTTTTGCCTTCTGCCACAGTGTGGGGCATGATTTGTACTGAGAGATCCTCTAAGCTTTCCATGCAACTTATTCCCTTGCATTGCATGGATTACAAGGAGCTATGTTTGTACTTTTGATCTTTCCAGTGTTCTTCGCATGGCATTAAATAATTCAACTTTGTGGCTTCTGCCTTTTTTTCCTCAGCCCCTGTTGCACATGTTTATGCACTTGGGAGAGGCCTGTGTCTGTAAGCCAGGAGGTCCCTTCCAGCCTTAAGGCCCTAAAGCAGGTGCAGAAGCTCCCAAAGCTCCGCGTGTCCGGAGCGGGGCCGGGGGCAGCTCAGCTCAGTCTGCGGCCGCGCTGCGCGTGTCCACGTTACCCTCTGGGAGTCCTCGCTGGTTCTTTTCTATATCCTGTATCTCTATATTCCATAGATGGGTAGCGCTGGGGGTGTCCTGCCCGGAGTATAAGCTTGTTAAGGGCAAGCTTCAGGGAGCAGGAATCACTCATTCTACCCATTTTCTGTTGGTTGTGACTGGCAACTGCACGGAGGTGATTCACGTTACCCAAAACTGCGCAGAATGTAACTGTACCCTAACAGCTGCCTGACCGCCACAACCCGGTGACCTCCTCACACGTGACAGCCCCCCGAGGAGCCGCTGCCTTCCCTCGTGGTGC